CCCCCCCCCCCCACCCCAACCCCGAGCCCCCAAAATCTTCCGAAAGTGGCTGATACTACACGCGCGGGTACGCGCCGCACTCCATCTACAGGGCTTCCTTAAAGGTTCCTTAAAGGGATCTATAGGGGTTCCTTAAAGGGAGGGGTTTTACGGGTTTAGGGAGTTTTGGGGTTTAGGCGTTTAGGATTTAGGGTTTTAGGGTTTAGGGGTTAGGGGTTCTGATCTCGGTTTTAGGGGTTCCTTAAAGGGATCTACAGGGGTTCCTTAAAGGCATCTATTGGGGTTCCTTAACGGGATCTGTAGGATTTTAGGATTTAGGGTTTTAGGGTTTAGGGTTTAGGGTTTAGAGTTTAGGGGTTAGGGTTTAAGGGTTCAAGGATTAGTAAATTAGGGTTTAGGGTTTAGGCTTCAAGGATGAGGGTTTACGGTTCAGGATTGTTATTGTTGAATGATTACAAATATTCCTTCTTATCATTATCGCTACCGTCATTATTGCGAGTGTTACTATTATGTTTAGTGTTATTGTTATTTTATGACATGGTACTTTGAGATTACAGGAACCCAAGAAGTTCTAGCCATTATGGAGAAGGAGATCTGGTCTGCCAGCGTTATCCCGTAGCGCAACCCTAAACCATAGAGCCGAACATACCCCTAAACCCTAAACCCTCAAACCCCGGAACGCCAAATCCTCGTCGTCAGAGAAGGAGCCCAATATCTTCACTCCTAACCCCTAAAACCTGAACCCAAAACCCCAAAACCCCAAAACCCCAAAACCCCTAAACCCCTAAACCCTACACCCTAAACCCTAAACCCACAGGTCATGGATGCCTGCCAGCTCTTTCGCGCAATCCAGACCCGGCCGTTCCCAAACCGAAGGGTCTGAACCTTTTCCCTTTTTATAGTCCCTACATGATTATACGGGGCTTAGGGACTCGGACTCGGACTGCGTGTGTCAATAGTCTGACGTCGGTGCCGCGTATTGCGGCAGCAAATTAAGAAAACAGGACAAAAATGTCTCACGAAATGCCAACAGCTCGCAGGAGCGACTCAAAAAGCTCAGCATGAACAGGATTCAGCTGTGCTGTGATCGCATCCAGCGTTTCTGTGCTAGCTGTAGCCAGATCGGAGAGGGTGGACCTAGCGAGCTGTACAAACTCGCTACTAGAGCAGTTCCTCCCGTCGAGGCCCTGGGATTGCAAATGCAAAAAGAGCTCAGGCGAGAATAGGCTCTCGCAGGGAAGGAGCGGCCCTGAAACTCGCACGGCTGGAAGATCCGCTGGGGGAATCGTATCGGCCGTTAGCACAACGCTGCAGCAAGAAGAAGACCGCAGGTGCAATTGTGCGAGTAGTTGGCGCCCACACCTCGGCGCGTCATGTAAAACATGCCTGAGCAGCCGCGATCTGGTCCAAAATCGCGTGAGGCATGAGGGGCATGTGTCGCGCGGGGTGTTCTGTGACAAGAACGTACAAACCCTGTGCTGGCTCCACTGGTGGGCACGCAGAGTGTGCAGGTCTGGGAAGCACTTGTCACAGTCGCGACAACTGTAAAGGTTGCCGTCGGGAAGGCAAGCTGGCTGATCGGCTGGGTCCAGGGGGGAGGCGTCTGGCCCCGGGCGAGCAGTGCTGTGCCGTTTAGCCCGTCGCAGGAGGCCCTTCACTTTCCCGGGGAAGTGTAAAACAGCTTCCACGAAGTCATCGGCTCCTTTGAAGAGCATGAGTCCACCGCGAGGAGGCGATCTCTGCCAGAGGCCATTCAGCCATGCAATGTCTTCCTCGACGGTGGCCAGCCAGGAATGCTCGGAAGCCTCGGCTTCTTGTTGAAGGGCCTGCAGGAGCACTTCCTGCTGTTGGGCTGCAATCAGTCGAAGATGGTCCAGGCGAAGAAGGCGCATCGTAACCTCCGGCATGGGTCGAAGGACCTGGGCGCAGAGGGGACGCAGGGAAGGAAAGCAAGGGCCTTCGGCTCCCCTGCGCGGTCGGACAAGGCAGCGGTAGAGACTGCCATGGCCAGCAGCCCAAAGCGCAGCATCTTGACTGTTGAGGCCGCCCCAGACGGCAACGCTGTAGTGTGCTCGGCTGGTAGCAAGCACATCATGGATGGAACCCCGCGCTTGCATCTGCACAGCTTCGCGACGGAGAACCTTCTTAGCAAGCTGGCTGGCAACACTCTTGGCGAAACCGATCTTGCGATGGAGATCCCTTGTTGGCCTGCACTTGGCACTGAGCATAGTTCCCAGGTGGCAATACTGCAGAACGCAGCGCAGCTGCACCGCCGGCTGTACTGGCAGCGGAAGCGTGCCGCATCCGGTGCCAAACAAGGTCTTGGCAGCTTTCTTGGAGCCCGGGCCGGCATATGACACAAGTGCCTCGGTCTTGCCGGGGGCGTAGTTGGGGCACATTGCCCTTTTATGGCAGGCATGGTGCAGGGCCGTGGCAGAAACGGTGACAGCAGCAGGGATCTGCTCAGCTGTCCCAACAAGTGGCAAAGACAGGTCATCAGCCCAAATAGGCATGAGGGTGTCTGGCATGCCTTGGTCGTGAAGACAACTGCGCACCTCATCAACGACACAGACTAGGGCGAGACTGAACAACACATCAGAGACAGAGTCGCCAGGCCGCGAGCCGACCTGTGTGTAGGTCAGGGTGTCCGTGCCATCGAGAACGAAAAGAGTGTGCCGATACGTTGAGGCAAGGACCCGCCGAAGATGGGGCGAGGAGGAGGCCAACAGCTGACCATGTTGGGCAAAGTTGGCAACCTCGGCGACATAGTGAGCTGGCACTTGCAGCCGTTCCAGAAGTTGGCACAAAACCTCATCGTTGATCTGCTCACCCGTAATCGCCTGCCGCAGCAACCGGTAGTAGGCCGCAGTCAAGTCCAGGAAGATGACCGCGAAGGACTTCTTAGTGGCAAGGGCAGCACGCATTTTGGCAAGCAGAACATGCGTAAGGGCAGTGGCGACTGAGCCAGGCAGACAACCCTGCTGCAACGGCTGCGCAGTTTCGGCAAGAGCGCTGAGAAGTCTTGGCCTTTGCAGTCGGTGTAGAAACTTGGCGCTCGGGTCCAATAGAGCGATAGAGCGGTAGCTATCGGCTCTTGCGGCGAGGCCAGCTTTCTTGATGAGGGCCGTGAGTTTGGTGCACCGATATTGGATGGGCTCAGTCAGGCGCATGTGTGCTTTCATGTATACCCGGAGCAGGGCATTGGCCGATAGGCCTGGGAAAGCTTTCCAAACACAGGTTGGGATGCCTGATGGGCCAGGGGCCCGCCCATCACGGGCCTCACGAATGGCCTGTTCTATGGCAAGAAGGTCAGGGAGCTCAGCAAGGTCATACTTTCCATCGGCGGCAGGCCCATGGCACAATGCAAGGTAGTCCTCACGCTTGACAGAGTGCCCGGCCTCTTGGTCAGCAAAGTGCTGTCGATGCAGCTCCTGCTGCGCCTGATAGGTCTGTACCACCTCATATGATTTGAAGACCTTCTTCCCCGCAGGCCGAAAGAAGCGCAGGGCAGCGAAAAGAGCTCGCGAATCCGCTGTTTTGGTAGAGTCTTCGTATTTTTGAGCCTGAGCCTCGATGTCTGAGATCAGCAAAGAGAGATTGCTTCTGAGCCTGTGCCTCCTTGTACCTGGCGTCAGCTGCGGCTTGCTGGGCCTTGAAGCGGTCAGTGTTGGGAGAGCCGGGGCGCGTGCCAGTAGAGAAGGCCCACTGTCGGCAGGCATGAAGAAGTGCCGCACGGCGGGCCGCAGCAGCTGCGTGCCTCATTGTCTGGGTGTGCTTCTTGCGGGCTTGCATCAGCTGCCAGGCGTCGCTGTTCACATATGGCTTGCGAGGTCCAGTCTTGGTTGGACGACGCTTGAATGCATTCCAGAGGGACCGATCAACCTCCTGCACGTGCTGGTGGACATTGCACTCCCATGGGATGCTGGCAGCCTGCTGCAGTGTCTCGGCAACCTTGTGGTAGTAGGGCTCAACATCCTGAACCGTTCGTAGAGGCAAGCGAGGGAAAATCGGTACCTGAGAGATCTCAGCCTGGAACATAGCCCGTAGGTTGAGGCAGGCTGGGAAATGATCGTCTGAACCTCCAGTCTCGAAGTCGTGGAGCGGCAGTTCTGCACATGTGGCCTCATCCCGATGGGCAGCAGGACATAGTCAATCCTGTGTCTAGTCTGTTTGGGAGAAACCCAAGTATAAGCCCGAGGGTCATGGCGCTCCACTGTTCCTCGAGCTCCGGCAAAGGTTGCAGGCGCACGCAAACCTGCATGCTCGCAGAAGGCGTGCAGTCGAGAGCCATTGGCCGTCTCGTCATCGGCAGCATGAGGACCTATGCAAGGGCTGTCCCGCGAGCCGACCTGGCCATTGGAATCAATGCCAACATAGACGGGCAGGGCTGCCTTGCAATGACAATCGTACTGACGACGAAGGTGCTCCCACCAATCCTCACATTGCTGCTCGCTGTGCCCGGTGTGCGGAGCATGCCCAGAGATTAGGTAGCAGCTGTGGGCGGGCGCCTCCAGCCTGGCAATGAGAAGCCGCTCATCCGCAAACAAAGGTTTGCAGTGCTCCTTGCGAACTTTGCCGAGGGGGGATTCGCTAGCGACCCAAATGGCACAGCCGAGGTTCCCACGTTGGCAGGGGCCTCGAAGCTCGATGTCATCTTGGGCACTGCAGGTGCCGGCCGGGAGACGAGTCTCCTGCAGGAAGACGACGTGGAGCCTCTTGGTAGCAAATTGCTGGCGCAAGAGGTCCTTCTTGCCTTTGAGGGTCTGGACGTTGTAGGTGCAGAGCCCGATGGGCTGGCCCGGTTTGCCAACGGGTTTATCAATATCGTCTGGTGGTTCGTATTGGCCAGTGACCAGGCGTTCGAAGGCCGGTAGCCCAGGAGCCGGGGCCAGAATGTGCCACAGCCATGGCAAGTGCTTGTGCCGTAGCAGTTGAAAGACTGAGGCAGGAGGCAGCACATTCTGGTGTTTGCACGCATATTTAGCAAGCTGGTCTGCAAGTTCATTGGCAGGTGTGCCGGTATGGCTCGGGATCCAATGCAGCTCAGCCGGGCAAGGGCGGCGCTCTAGAGCTTGCCAGAGACAGCGAGTCGCTTGCATGAGCTTGCGGGTGTGTCCGGCAAGGTGCGGGGAGGCGCAGCCGGTAGCAGCATCAACGACGCATTTGCAGTCGCACCAGATGTGCAATTTTACATCGCCTGGCCATCCTAGGGCCCAGGTAGAGGCGATGGCAAGAGCAATGGCTTCAGCGTCGACGTTGTGTTCGGCACCACTGAGGCCTTGTGCTGCAAACATAGCGGCGGTTCCTCGAAAAGAAACCGAGGAAGTTCAGCCACGTGCTCCAGCCATTGGTACACTCTTCGAATATAGCGACAGCCCATCCCGGAGCCGCTCCAGGTAGTGAAGAACCATCGGTATATGCATGGATGGCCACTGGTGCCCAGATACCAGCCGGGTGGCGGTGCTGAGTGGCTACTCTTGCCGCTCCTTTGGGAACAAAGGGAACCTCCGTGTGCCAACAGCATGCCCATTCGTTGAGGGCCGGGAGCTGGATGGCCTGGTTGAGTGGTAGCTGAGCGGGCTTTGTGCTGACAGGCGGGCCATCATGGCCTGCATCCTTGTCACCACTGTCATCGGCAGGCATCTGAAGAGCATCTTCCCCTGGCTGCTTAGGGAGGGCAACAGGGCATGCAACCTGGGCGATGTTCGAGGGCACCTTGTCGGCCAGTGTTGGCTGCTCCAAGCTTCGCCTTCCAAAGGGGGTGGGAATGGATGCGCGAGACAGCCGTGCATGCAGTTGCAGCAGTGAGGTGCCAGCATTGCTCGACGAGGATGGTCTTCTTGAGGCGGAGTCTCGTCTCTGCTCGATCACATAGTCACGGGCCGTGTTGGGCGGGAAGGCTGCAACATAACCTCTCCTGACAGGCAACGGAATCCCTTCGATTGGCAACCTGGGTGGAACACTTACCTGCAGGTAGTTGACAAAGTGAGGCGAGGGAAAAAGCAATGTGCGGCGGTTGGAGCGGCGGGATGGAGATGAAGACAGGGGTTGTCCACTCCAAAACCAATGGATCAGCGAAGGTGGTGCCCGCCGGCAAGTACTCCCCATCGAGGAGGAAGTTCACAGCCTCTTGAAAGCCCGGTGTCAATGCTTGGTCCATCTGCAGGTCTAGTGCCGGGTGGCCCGGGCCCAGAACGATGATGGGCTGGCCCCCTTGGCTCGGTGTCCCAAAGTGCTGTCTGCGGTCGGCCACACGGAGCTGTAGCGTGTTCTTTAGGGCATCCTTGGCTCGTACCTGTAGTGAGGCGGACAGCGGGTCCGCGGTTAGTGCTTGCATTGCTGGCACTGGCACTGGAAGCGCAAAGAAACGCAGGTCTGGCAGGAGATGGTACAGCCGTCCAGGCGGGACGGCTTCGGCAAAGTAGTCACCTTGGCGGATCTGTACTTGATCCCCTGTTGCCAATTCCCTGTTCGCTGCGGTGTGTGCCAGCCCGTTCAGATACGCTGCATAGCCGCGGCGTGCATGCGCGTCAGATAGCATGTGCACGGGCCTTGTGCCTGCGTCGACTGAGAAGCCCTGCAGTAGCGAGCCGTCGACACTGTGGTCTTGGAGGATGTGAATATCCGGCCCTTCAGGGAACACAAGAAAGCAGATCATGTAGGTGTTGTGTCTGGCAGGGAGTTTGGGCGTTGCCGCCGCAAGTTGCAACTGCGGACGCTCTGGCATGCGCCCCTGGAGGGCGAGCACATACAGCATTTCGGTCAAGGAGTCAATGACGTTGGCCGCGTTCCATGGCTGTGGGACGAGCCGAATGATGGTGCCTCCTCCTACCAGAACAAAAGACACAGTTTGGACCGCAGCGTTCGAGCTCGCCGGGAGCGCGAAGGTCGTGGTGCCGGTGGTTGGCCCGAGCTGGTACTCTGGCATAGTAGCATGCACGGCGCGCTGAAGAGGGCAGGTGGCATCAAGCTGCAGACTGAGCCATTGAAGCACATCAAGCTGGAGCGGCAGTGCATCCCGGACAACACCTGTGGCATCCTGCAAGAAAACAGCATCCTGGGCAACCAAGAAAGACAGGGACATGGCATGTTCGGGGCACGCCGCAGCGAGCGCATCGAAAACCTCTGCCTTATCACAGCCTGGGGCAACCACAACAGTGCAGATGTGGCCTTGTAGGCGCCGCATGTCAACCGCAACAGCTAGCACTCCGGGCCCAAGTCCAGGCGGAGTCAAGGTGAGCTGGGGTAGCGGGAGCTCGGGCAACGGCGGCTGCAAAAACTGCACACAAGCAACTGCTTCAGGGTAAGCCTGAATAGCATCTGTCAAGAAGTCGGCTGCCGTCCAGTCAGGCCTGGATTTGCGAAAAGTGCTGTGCCTTAGCCTGTCAAAGGTTGTGTAGTAACCTGAAGTGGGATCACCAGAGGTGACCGCATTGCATAGCCGAAGCTGCTCAGCATTGAGAGTAAGCCTGCCATGGGAACCTAGGCTCTCGGGGAGGATCTGAAGTCCTTCAACACCTGCCTTGGCGAGCAAACTCGGCCGAACATCGTGATGTACGGAGAGTAGTGATGGTGGCTCACTGTGGGGCTCGCTACCGACCTTGAACTCAGGGCTAAGGTGGAAAGTGCCGGAGGGGCAGTCAGGCAGCATGGTCAGGGTAGGACAGGTGACATAAGGATCGGGCATACACGCAAGGCTCGACAGGGAACCGACCTTGGACGTGCTGCAGTGTGTTGCCTTGGAGTTGTGCTTGTGTGTCCGACTGGGTCGTGGCGAGGAAAGGCTGGGCTCGACGGGAGGGAAGCACACCCTACGTTTGTATGTACAACCTACCGCGCAGCCTGTACAGTCTTCAGAAAATCTCTGCCGGCTTCCTTTAAGGCAGCTTCGGGGCGGCAGCATGAGAGCTCGATCTATGGCTTGTTTGCAGGAGAAGTCATCAACCTCGTCAGGACAGCCGGCCGTTGTAGCCATGGTTGGGGCGAATTCTCAGATACCCCCGCATACGAAAGCCCCTCGGGGTGGTCTCTGAGAGGCAGTTTTGCCACTGAGGGGTTCTCAGTGGCAAAGGGGCCTCTGAGAGGGCTCTGGGTGAGTATTGTGTTTTCGACTTTATCTACAAACAAAACCGATCTCTCAACGCAAATGATGATGCAAATGGTCGTCTGTAGATGCAGGCTGGATCACTCAGACAGCCTGTGCACTCCTGTCCTTCCCTTCCCCTCCTCTCCCCCCTTCCTCTCTCTCGAAGTGCATGTGTGTCATATATATATATACACATATATATATATATGTTTCTTTGTTTATATGTCTATGTGTATATATATATATACATATGAGATTTACATACCAACGTATATGTGTGTATATGTACATATATATGTACATGCATCTGATATGTATCTGCTCCAGCTGCTCTAGGCCTCAAAAAGGAGAGCCCGAAGCTAAAGCCCCTAGCAACTAAGCCCAAAAGCCTAGCAGCGCATGTGCAGCCGCCCTAACCTAACCTGGCGGTGTGCAGACTGGATAGCCGCCCGATCCTTTAAATCGTATATAATATGAAACCCCCTGCAGAATCCCAAGCCAGAATCTCCAAGCTGTTAACTAATCCTAAATCCTATTCTGAGCTGTCAACCCTGCCCTAAACCGACCGTAAACCAGAAAGACTCTAAACCCTGCTGTCCCTGCCCCCTTTCTATAAAGTGCATGTATGCCATA